CTGGGTCGAACGGGAAGCGGGAGTTGCCTCGAGGGAAGCAGCCCGTCGCCGCCTCCGCCGCGTTCTGAGGGGGGGCGCGTGGCTGAGGCGGCTTTCGGCAACGACCGTTATGGGGGAGGGGAGGAGGAAGAGGAAGAAGAGCGCGCGAGCCGGCGTACGTGGCGCGGTCATCGGCTGCCTCGCGCCGCCTCTCGAGTAAGGTAAAGATCGCGCGGTGAGCTGAGAAAAAAGAGAAAAGGATTGCGAGAGAGAGAAGCGTAGATTCCCACTGATTCGCGGCGCGAAAGCGACTCCTTCCACGTTGACTTTCTACGGCGGATTTCTCTGTTGTACCCCCGGCAATATTGCCTTACTTCGCTTTCAAAAAAAAAAAAAAAAAGGCTCCTTTTGCCTGGTTTGGCTCCTTCGTTTCCCCGCCTCACCTTTCGTAGCGCCCATGCATACTTTCATCATGTGCTCCCCGTTCCTAGTACAACCTTGTGCCGCACAGGGCTCCCTTCCCGTCGAAGAGCGCCTCGCTTTGCTGAAGGGAAATCTTGTTCTGGAATACGTTTTCCTCACAGAACGAAGTTATTGAAGGCAATAATAATTTCAAACTCCTGGCCTGTCAGACTTAATGCTCTTTCCCTAAACCTAAAGCATACTTAGGTTTAAAGTATGCTGAAAAGACTTCCAGCGTGACTTTCAGACCCATAATGAATAGATAGACCTGTCATCGAAAAATTCAATTTTGGTATGAAACTGAGGCTTTAGAAATCAATACCCTAGTTTATGCATAAACAGCTCTACTTTAGATTAAACTTGTGGGTATCCTGGCTGAAGATCCAAAATCTCAACTTCTATCTGTGGAGAACTGAAACCACATGGAGATGTTAAGTAATTTATGACAGTTATTTTATTTTTCTTAGTTACACTATTTTATTCAATTTATATTCATGCATTTTAGTAGAAACAACAAAGGTAGTACTATGCACTTCTTGATAAACCTCCGTTCAGTTTATAATTTTAGTATGGCAATTCTGAGAATGCCATCTTACAGTAATTAGGAAATGGGTTTTTTTTTTTTAAATCACCCTCATGTTTTGGAATTCCCTCTCTATGGAGAGACTTAGTCTATCTTTTCCCTTCTGGGTTTCAGAACAGCACTTTGAGACTTGGCTTTTCCATCTTGCCCAGGATGAAGACATGCTTTGACTGCTGGAATGAATTGGCTGATACATAACTTAGTCTTTTTTAAAAAAAAATCTTTTATGATGCTGTTGAGCTTTTTAAAATTATTTTGTTCAGTGAGTTTATTATCAAAATGTTTTTTCTTTAGGATGTTTCTGATAACTGCTCAAGTCTTGGAGAATGAATAGCACAAACATATTTAAAATAAATGTAAATGTAACATACAGTGTATGCGTTTGTGTGTATATACATAAACATTCTCTCTCTACACACACACACACCATGCTAAAGTGTTTGCTGTGTTAAATGTGAATTGAATTCTATTGATGAGGCATCTCTTAATACAGTGGTGGCGAACCTATGGCACGGGTGCCAGAGGCGGCACTCAGAGCCCTCTCTGTGGGCACGTGCGCCATTGCCTGAGTCCTAGGCTTTCAGCTGGGTTTTATAAAACCTTTTCGCTTTAGGCCTCCGCCGCCGTGTACAAAAAAAAAAGGTTCAATCAATCAGTCAATTTCAACTTCTCACAGAAAAAAAAAATCTTGCAAAGTTGGAATTGATTGATTGCACTTTTTAGTCCCACCCAGTCTGCCATTACCACTGTAACCACGCCCACCCAATGGGCAACACCCAGCCAATGGGCCACACCCACCCGGCACCCGACGATGCATAAGTAGGTTTTAGGTTGCAGTTTGGGCACTCGGTCTCTAAAAGGTTCTACATGTCTTAATACATGTAGATATGACCCTCATCTTGCTTACATTTTCACATATGTACATTCCTGCTGCTGGTACAAGATTGTTCTTTAAAATATAGTTGTAACTACCAAGCTTAGATATCTTGCATTTTATAGCTTGTAGATGACAATGTGCTACAGGTAATTATAATCAGATCTTACCTTTATCCATCTGAAGTTGGTGCTAGTCCTTCATCTAGTGATATTAGCTTTGTAAAAATAATTAGGATTCTGTAAGTGAACAAAGTATTTGAATAAAGCAGCTTGATGGTTTTCTAAATTTCTTAAATCTTGATAAATGTAGGACTTGGTTGTTTTAATTCTAGAATGCTGAATTTGAACTAAAGTGCTGGAAAGAAAAATTTATATAATTTTATTTGACAGTCTTTCTAGGATATTAGCCCATTTTGGAAATTACAGTGGGTTGTGAAAACAGTTATGTTATGTACAATACAAAGAATAATTATCTGAAAGAGGTTCCCTAAAAAGATACGCTTTTATTTTAGGTTCTCTCTTTATAAAATGAGAACTAATTCTTTTTCTAGGTTTTAAATATAATGTTAGGCTCTGTATAAAAATGACTTGAATATCTAAAGTTCAGTTATTATTCCCCAGGGGAATGTCTGGATTATAAAGAGATGATTCTGAGAATGACAGCTGTGAAAAAGTGTGTATAGCCAGTTTGGTCTAGTTAGTGGTTAAGGCATCAGACTAGAAACCAAGAGACTGAATTCTAGTCTCACTTTAGGAATGAAAGCTGATTGAGTGACTTTGGGCCAATCACTCTTTCTCAACCCAACTCGCTTCGCAGCTTTGTGAGGAAGGAGTATTGTGTATGTTCACCGCCTTGAGTTATTTATAAAAATAATGAAGGATATAAATAAATAAAAATAATACAACTTTTGCTGTTAGTTCAAATGTGAATAATCAAATGTAGCAATTTGCAAATGTAAACCTAGCAAGATTTACTTTCTTTAATAATACTTAAGATTTAGAAACTGAACAATACAAAATCTAGGTGTATTTAAATTCTTAGATTCAAATTATTTAATTCTTAGATTTGAATACAGCTCATAATTGCGTTTACGTCAAAATCTACTATCATTTGGGAAGTCATTTTATTGTTATCCTGAGCAGCTAATTTGCTGCATATCATCATTACATGAATGAATTTACCGATAAATCCAGATGTTTCTTATGGCCATTTCTATTTTAAAAACTGTAGTGTGGTGAATGATTCTTGTCATGTGGCTGTTTCGAAATATTTTTCGTTCTATTCTCTATCTCTCTGTAATATGTGTTAGACTAAATATAAAGAAGGAATCTTTCCTGTAATTATTTTGGTTAGTATGTTTTGCAGGGCTATTCAGATAACCTCTTAGTATTTTTTGAAAGTAAACTACATTTTAACAATGAATATCTACTCTTATCTTCCATAGATTGTACTGTTTGCTGCAAGTCAACTCGGTCCAATCTCCAGGATCTTTGTAGATTGGAGAAGCTGTGTTGCCCTTCCTTGGGCATTACCAAAAAAAACCTCAGTGATTTTGAAGTAGAATATCTATGTGATTATAAGAAAATCCAGGTGAGTTTCTTGGATTTTCCCATAACTTTAATCCATAACTTTTATATGATCTAGTCTTCTGCAGGTCTCTGTTGATAAGAGTATGTGTATTGACATTTTCATAATTTATACTTTCCTTCTTCCTGTTCTCCTTTTAACCAGTGTTCTTTTCCTTAAGAAATTGGGAGTGATAGGATGGGATGATGGAAATGCTATGTAGTATACCTGGATTGAATTTTTGTTTTTATTGATGAAATCCTAGGAAATGTCATTTTCTGGACTTTGTTCTGGGAAGAAAATTGTAATATTATAGACTTACAGTTTGCTCTGTTATTTTCTCAGGATGAGGAATTCTATCTGGTGAAGTGGCGGGGCTATCCTGATTCAGATAATACCTGGGAGCCCCGAAAGAATTTGCGATGTATCAGCATACTCAAGCAATTCCACAGAGACCTAGAACAGGCATTGATCCGGCGTGGTAGCAAGCTCAAAAAGAATATGTGCTTACTTGATCAAGGAATTTCCAATTATTTGGTTCAGAAGGCCAAACAGAGGCGAGCTTTGCAGCATTGGGAATATGAGCTCAATGCCAAACGCAACCACAAGGGACGAATTGTGGTAGAAAATGAGGTAGACTTGGATGGGCCTCCCCGGGACTTTGTCTACATCAATGAGTATAAAGTTGGGGAGGGTATCACTCTCAACCAGGTGGCTGTAGGCTGTGAATGTTCAGACTGTCTGTCAGAAGCAGCAGGAGGATGCTGTCCTGGTACCTCACACCATAAATTTGCCTATAATGAGTTGGGCCAAGTGAAGATCAAGGCTGGCATGCCCATCTATGAGTGCAATTCTCGCTGCAACTGTGGTATTGATTGCCCAAACCGTGTAGTACAGAGCGGCATTCGTTATGACCTTTGCATTTTCCGGACAGATAATGGACGTGGCTGGGGTGTACGTACATTGGAGAAGATCCGCAAGCACAGCTTTGTCATGGAATATGTTGGAGAGGTAAGACTAAGCCAGTATGATACATAAATTGTGTTATGATTCTGAATTCAGATGAAATCTGCTCCAAATCTTACCAAAGAAAAATAGGTAATAGTTGTATAATCACAATACTTTATTCAGATAAGATTGGATTCATACTGTGCTAAACCATGGATTAACGAGTTATAGTCTCATATAAGAATAATCTTTTAATTTCAATTTCAAATGCTTCTGGGGAAAGATGTTTGATCTTGTAATTTATATGGTTTAAATAACTAGAAAGAAAAGGAAAGTTAATATACAGATCTTGTGTTTAATACTTTATTACCCAGACGTTGGTTTGGTATATCTACCAGTAAAGTTTCTCACTAAAGTCTTAGTTCTCTTTCCCATTTTGTGTCATGTCATTGTTGTCCATCTGAAAACGATTACAACTGTTTAAATCAAGAGATCCTTTTTCTATTGTCAGGTCTATAACATTTAAGTTTCCTTTGTCCATTAGATTGCTAATTATGTGCATTTTGTATTTTTTATTAGCATAAACTGTTGTAAAATAGTACAAGGATCATGTCATTAAAAGGCACTTTTTTAAAAAATAGGTAAGCTATTACCAACAAATAAAGCTATACATACTTGAATATTAACTAATTATTTCAGATATGTTAGCAGTGGAAAGCACATGTGATCATGGAGAGCACTTCAGTGGTAGTTACATATTTTGGAGCCTCCTGCTGGATTTGTGGCATAGAGGAGGTTGAATGGATGAAACTAGCACAAGAGGCCTGTCTAACATGTTCATTACATTTGAACTGTAACAGTTTGATGATCAAAATAAAACATTTATATCCTATGGGAATTTGGGAGTATTTTCAAGTGTTGCATTAATCAAAGCGATAACTGAACACAGAACACATTTACAATGTGTTAGGATATATTCAGCACAGCAAAGCAACTGAAGGAAAAAAAATAGAAATCCAAAAATGCAGAGGAATAACATATGATAAGAATCATAAGCAAAAGTAGACTTTTTCTATGATCTTTATTTCTTCCACATCATTAACAGATTATCACATCAGAAGAAGCTGAACGACGGGGTCAGATTTATGACCGACAGGGTGCCACTTATCTGTTTGACCTGGACTACGTAGAAGATGTATACACAGTAGATGCTGCCTATTATGGCAACATTTCACATTTTGTTAATCACAGTGTAAGTGCAATAAATAATAATAAGGGAGCCTTGTACTGAATAATATTTGTTTCATTTTTCACTCAACCTTGCATTCTGTGTTTCCAGTGCAACCCCAATCTACAGGTATACAATGTTTTTATTGAAAATTTGGATGAACGACTGCCACGCATTGCTTTTTTTGCTACTCGATCTATCAGAACTGGTGAAGAACTCACATTTGACTATAATATGCAAGGTAAGAAAGGAGAAATGTGGGGAAACTTTAAGATAACTTGTGATTTGCTATAGTGGACTTGGGAGATAGGATTTAGGGATGAAGTTCTTATTTTTAACTATTCTAAATTCTGGTTGGACTTATTCTTTGCTCTAAAACAATGATTCTCAACCCATGGTCCATAGATCCCCGGAGGTCTGATATTGTCATAGGAGGTCTGTGAAGACTTGAAGAAATGTTATGATTTAAATCTTGAGTTAAATTTTGGGGGTCCGTGGTCATGGTCTGTGGCCTTAGAAAGTATTTAAAGGGGATCCATGATAAAGAAAAGACTGAGAACTATTGCTCTAAAATATTATTTCTATACTAGCTGTACCCGGCCACGCGTTGCTGTGGCTCAATCTGGTTAGCGTGTGTTGCTTTTACGTCCAACAGATGGCGCTGTTTTTCAAAAAAAGCATGTTTTTACCTGTCACAGGTGTGACATCTATATAATAGTAGGTATATACTACTGCGTATTCGAACGCAACGTTGTGTCAAAATTTCAAAGCAATTGGTGAAGAACTTTCGGAGATTTAAGATTTTGAACAAACGAACATTTACATTTTTATTTATATAGAAGATTATGTGCAAATTGATTCTGGTTTTGTCTCTTAAAATAATGTTAAGAGTTAAAGGAACATAACTATTTTTGAAGTTTAGTCAATGAGCAAATAAGCTTTGTTATCAAACGTAGAGACATCTTTTATGAAATTTGATGCTAGATAAATGTCTTCCACAGTGGATCCAGTAAATGCAGAAAGCACAAGGATGGACTCTAATTTTGGCCTTGTGGGAAGTCTGGCTGGCTCACCGAAGAAGCGGATGCGAATTGAGTGTAAATGTGGCACAGAGTCTTGTCGAAAATATCTTTTCTAGCTCTTTGCTAGTTTTTCTTGGAAGATGTCTTGTGAAGCCTGGATTGGAAGCCCAAGCTGGCTGTTGAAAGATTGCAGACAGAGGCTAAGAGTCAGGAACTTACCTGTTTGAAGAGTAAATGATAAAGCCTAGAACTGCAAGAGGGCAGTAATCCACATTTCTTGGGCTATACAGCACTGACTTGGCTGCTTCTGATTCTTATGGAAACATGGGTGTGCGACAGTCTCTTCAGCAGGTGGACAGGTTGCTTGACTTTTATCTTGCTGCTGAGATGCTTGCTGGAAAAACTACAGCATAGAACAGAACTCCTTTCATAAGTCTGTGCTTATCTTATCTGAACCCTCAACTACAACTTACTGTTTAAAGCCTTAAATGCGAAGACAAGGAACTGGTTAATTTTTCAGGTTTTTTTCTGAAGGACAAAAATATTAATTTTCTGTAAGAAGCACTTCCTAACCATCTTACTGGTAGGTGGGAAATCAAAGCCGTTTTCTTCTTCCTGTGCACAGATTTTGCATTACCTCAGTGTGCCAAATGACTGCTGTCCATTTTTACATAATTGCTACTTGAAGTCGCACTTAGAAACCATCATGGAGTTAAGCTCTATGCAACCTGAAAAAGCAACGTCATCTTTTTAATTAATGAATTTTGTTTTTAAAGAAAATGTTTATAATTTTTTAATGGGTTGGGGCAAAAATTAGCTTCTGGAGATAGTTGTATTTTTAAAGATGTTAAGAAGTTCTTGAAGTATGACTGCTGAACTGAATTAGTTGTCTGGATTCTTTATTCTGTGTTTTATAACTTACTGTTCCTTTAAAAAAAAACTTTTTTCACTGCAGTAATAATGTAAAGAAAATAGGGTTTAGAAACAGCTTTAGTCTAACAGAAATAGGAGAAACATATAACCAGAGTTGCCAAATCAAATCACTTGCTTTTGGACTTCAGTTTTTATAAATACAAAAAGTGATATTATAGAACAGGAACATTTATGTTTGGCACAAGAAAGTGAGGCTTTAATTTCTTTGGTTTTTATACATTCGAATAATATAATTGGAAGTGAATATTTAGGCCATTGAGTCCAAGCCCCTGCTCAGTCCCAAATCAAAATGAAAGCATCCCTGACAAATATCTATCCAATCTTTGCTTGCGTATATCCAGCGGTATGCTGTTTTTGTTTTGAAGCACGATGAGCGATAAAACTTTTGCTGCTTGACCCTGTTAGGAAGAAAATAGTGAACAAATAAAATGGGGTGCTTAAAACTGCTCAAGGTGTATTTTCCCCTATAGAAGGGAAAATAAGGATATTAGATCTCGGTGTTCTTTTGAACATTTGTATTCAATATAAAAAGTATACAAAGAAAAACATTTCAGGGATATTATGTACCTTTTTTCAAATGAGAGCCTGGACTTAGCCTTTTAAGTGGCTCACCAACTTCATTCAAAAAGAGTAGCAAAATGAGAGTACATTTTAATAGGTTTTTAAAAAAATATTAAATATTTGGGTATAATTTATTATCTGTATCGGAATACAGTCATTTTAGTAGGTACTGTAGTCACATTTTCCTTATTGGGGACCATACTTTTTACTTTAAAAAATTATACCTCTGGGGATGATAGTGATGCAGAATTTTCAGCAGAGAAATTAAGGCTGAATTTTTGCACTTTTGTGGGAACTGTTTCAAATAGATGCATTATGCCTACAAGAAGTTCAATATGTTTTACAGCTTTAATTCATTAAAAGGAGAAATGCTGAGAAAAATGATTTTTGTATTGCTGAAATTCAACAGTTTGAGAGCTTGGAGACTGTAAGAGTTAAGTCGGGGCAGGCATACACCCACTTGCCTTGATTAAAGCAGCATCGTACATATGCATAATCATTAACACACTTTGGTAGTATATCCAAGTTCACAGAAAATAATCCTTTTCAAAAATGATTTGACCATATTCAAAATGTACTGATTTCTATTATCTTGAAACTATATATTAATAGTTGACGCAGAAAAAGATAATTAGGGAGTTGGGCACCTCTATTAAAGATAAGTTAAAGTGAAATATATAGAGGGTTTTAAATCTGCAAAAAAAAACCCGCAAACTAATGCTCTGCAAACAAAAATGTTCTCATACTTGAAATAGCTATTTGACGCTATTCTGATCATTCTGCAAATGTTCCAATTTTGAAACTTCCAGGTTATTGGAACATCACCAAAGACTTCTGGTAAGGTTAGGATTACAGTACTTGTTTAAAATCTGTAATCAGAATTAATAACGTTCTGTATGGAATAAAATAACTTGAGTAGAGATCGCCCCATCTCAGAACTAAACCCTGAGAGGCAGGATATTTAGGGCAGGTGACTGGTTTATTAATTCTCTTTTCTAGAGTTGTACAGTATACCGAAATACAAATTAATCAAAGAGCCTGGTTTTGTTACGCCATGGCAACATTAACCAAGGCTAAACATAACTCACCTTAGCATGTTGTGTGAATGCAATCATTAGATTTTGAACACATTGTGTTGTAGAATTTGCTTCCACATGATGTTTGAGAGCTACCATCTATACTGCTTTGAAAAGTGCTATTGTCGAAGATAAATCATCTTTGGGTACCAACTTATGCTATCAGCAGACCTTGTGACATTGTTCTTCTGAGTACATCCTTTCCAGTAACTAAGGAGACCACTGGTTTCTTCTTGTGCTTAAATTTTCCTGGTATATATTATCTACATAGAATGTTGTAACAGTCTGATCCATTAAGACAGATAAAACAAAGCCTATAGAGTGACTGTCATGGGGTGAACTCATTACAGTACTTCTTAAGCAATATACCAGTGGTTGCGAACCTATGGCACGGGTGCCAGAGGCGGCACTCAGAGCCTTCTCTGTGGGCACTTGCGCCGTCGCCCGAGTCCTAGGCTTTCAGCTGGGTTTTATAAAACCGTTTCGCTTTAGGGCTCCGCCGTGTACAAAAAAAAAAGGTTCAATCAATCAGTCAATTTCAACTTCTCGCAGAAAAAAAAAGATCTTGCAAAGTTGGACTTGATTGCACTTTTTAGTCCCACCCAGTCTGCCATTACTGTAGCCACGCCCACCCAATGGGCCACACCCACCCAGCACCCAACGATGCATAAGTGGGTTTTGGGTTGCAGTTTGGGCACTCGGTCTCTAAAAGGTTCGCCATCACTGCAATATGGCATTGATGACTTCCCCCCCCCAATCCCCTGGGAAAGATAACCAGCTTTTAAGTAAGAGCAGTTTAAATAGTCGAATGCAGTTATAGTTTATTAGAAAATACAGCTGTGTTACCTGTTAGAAAAACATACCTTTACCTAAACATACAGTTTGTTTGAAAGTCTCATGCTACTTTACATTCTGTTAACTTTGTTTTTTTTTCAGCCTAATATATTTCTCCTTTTAGAGTTAAACTGATTTATATATTTCAGGCACCATTACCATATAATCTCTTAATCCTGTCAACTGTACTCAAAAATCTGTCAACTCTGCCTAACGCCTTGCAATTTCCTTGCTACAAAGATGTGACTGGCTTGCATGTCCATAGATACGATCCCCTTAGCTCAGTTCATGCTTCTTGATAAGATTACCTAATTGTACTACTGTTACCTCTCAATCTATTCCTTTCTGCCAGGTACCTGCCTGAAAAACCTATGATTAAATACCACTTGCTATTTTTTCCAGCGACAGTTAATTTACAGTTTCTTCTTATGCAAAGGAGAGAACAAAGCCAAAGAAAAATTATAACAGCCACAATACAGGAAGTTTAATACAACAACCCTCCCTCTTACACCCGTTTCATGCATGCTGTGAAAGATGTAACAAAAATGCATTTTGTAATTTAAGTAGACCCGTTTCAGAACTTCATTTCTAAGAAAATTTGTTTCTGCAGTATCAGGAATATGCTAATTATTTTGGTAGATTCCAGACAGCTTACTAGTAACATGGAATTAAATGTGAAATTAAATACTCTGTTCATATCTGTGGCTTTCATACACAAAGGTTACATTAGGAAAATACTAAGTCAACTTGCTCTTGAGAAACATGCTAAAGCAAATATCCTACTATATAAATTATACTATATTGAAGGGCAGTCTATGCACAAATTTAAAGCTGCAGAAGTCCACAAATTCAAAATAACGGGTTGATCCTTCTTAATGGAGGCAGGTGTTTTTCTTCATCTTTAATAGCTTTTGTGTTACATAGTAATGAGTGTGGTACTTTAACCCATGCTGTGTAAATATATTTCCAGGAGGGAAAGGAGCACTCTTCATATAGTAAAGCAGTTTCGTGCTATCTAGGAAAACATGGGACCAAAACTAAGTTAGCTTTCACATTCTTGAATTAGAAAAGAATCGTTGAAGTCCTAAACTTTATTATGCCAATTCATAAGCAGTTCCTGTAGCATAATTGACCGCATTCTCTTTTAGCAAAAGAACAGTAATCTGGATAGTGAAATCCATTAAGCCACATCTCACAGGGTAAGTGGAATCCTTTGTATGCTCTACAAAATCTCACCAACTGAAAAGGACAAAAGCAGTGGTCTCACTGTATTATGGAAGTATGTTCACGATGTTCCAGGATGAAGAAGCTATAAACCAACAATAGGAAGAAATACTGGATCTTTTAATCCTCTCTCAGGATCCCTGTTGTCCTCATAGCTGTGTCTCATATGCATTATTCCTTTCTCTCATCACAGGAAAATATGCTACTTCTGTTCTCTTTTCCAGACAATAACCATCCCTTTGGCATCACTGGAGGCCAAGAGACTCTCATCACAGTTAAAGCTGACATCCAAGACTGCAGCGCTATGTCCTTGAAGTTTGTTAACAATAGCCTTGGTGGCACGTTCCACATCAAAGAAATATACACACATATCTTCACTTCCCGTCACTGAAAAGCACAAAAATAAATGGTTAGAATAAAACCTTCATGAAATATAGGCCCTTAATAAAGGAGGGGGTGTTCAATTCCTTTAAACTCTGTCTTAGTTAAAGAGGAAATTGTAAGAAATGGGAACATTAAAAGCACAGAACTATAGGAGAGATCTGGCTCTGCTACGTTCTTTTTCCAATGGCAGAATGGCCACACAGGCCTCGTACCAATGCAAGCGCCTTGACGAAAAGACATGAGGGGGCAGAAAATGCTGTGGACAGGATGTGAGCTCTGTTGTATTTGGAAACTTCTCTTAAGCTGCAATGTTCCTTCATTATCCACTACCCTGTTAAGAAAAGTAAAAGGAATGGTGTAAGCACACACACATATATATAATAGGCATGTATCACCCTTTAAATGGGATTTATTAATATTCTGCATATACAAATAAAGCACACGTCTTTTGGTGCAATAGGATCATACCTATATAACAATAGCTTGTTAATACATGCATTGATGAGGAGAGAGGGATCGCGTGCTTCTCTGCTGATCCAGGAACGGGCTGAGATACTGGTGATGGAACTTCCTTCATTAACTATGAGGCGCTTGGCTTTGGTCAGTTTTCCTGCAAAAAATGATATGAAGCAGGAACTCTCCGATCCAAACTGGGCTGCAGCCAATCTCTGTTAAGATCCTCTTGGAAACTCACCTGTGGCCATGTCAAAGAGGAAGGAGAATATGCTGCCTTTGTCATCTCCTGCCCAGAGGATGCGCCCAGGAGAATCAAAGGAAAGAGAGAGGACTCGGCCGGTTAGTTTGCTTGAGCCACCCTTCACTTTTTTCCCTGTCGAGATGTTCATCACATGAAGGTTGTGTTTTCCATTTCCCACCTGGTGGGTAGATAAAGAAACCATTTTTGTAACTTGCAGTAAGCAAAAGATGAGGAACTAGAAACGTATACAAGTCGTCCTAACAACTGACTGCTTAGCAAGTGTTTGAAGTTCCAAAGGACCTACCTGGGAGGTACTTATGACCTGGATTTGAAGTTCCAATGATCAGGTTTCCCCCCCACCCCCCACGTTTGCGTGACTGAACTTTGGGTACTCTGCAACCAGGCTGCATTTATGACCATTTGCAGCATCTGCAGTCATGTGATCACATTTTACAATGTTTCCCCCTCCCCTCCAAACCAGCATTCGCTTAATTTTCATTCACAATGATAGGGAACCACTAGTTCACTTAATGACTGCGGCATTTGCTTAACAACTGTGATTCACTTAATGATCACGGTGATTCTCTCAATGATCGCCACAAAAGAAGGTTGTAAGATCAGGTTGGTCACCTGATTACGACTGTCATGAGTTAGGATTGTGATGGGCAGGCTCCCTGTAAACCGAATTAGAATGGTAGTTTTCTTACTAACACTCCACCCCTATCTTCATGAGAGACAAGAGATTTAATTTGGGGGAGGGATAATTTAATGTTTAACTTCTTATAACTAGACCTCTTTGCTCTTCTGCCCCCTCCTTCACATTAGAGAAGAATAAATATATCAATGTTTTAAAATCGTTCAGTGCATTCCTTACTTTCATCACAGGAATAAAGTTGAGTAATAAACTCCAGTCAAATGTAAGCTAGTGTTTCTGGGATGACAAAGGCCCAATATCTCACAAAATTTGCTCATGAGAGTAAAGAACAGCATATCACTGTTACTTTACTCACCACTGTGAGATTATTATTCATAGGTTGAAAAGTACAGCAAAGTAGTTCAGAAGCATCTGGATCTGGGATTTCCCGGATACACTTGCCATCCTCTGTAGCCCAAATGCGCATTGTGGCATCAAGCGAAGTGGAAACAATAATGTCATT